CACCTGTCCGACCGAAATACCACGGAATCTCTTTCTGAGGAAACAGCAAGTTTCGTATTTCGGAAGGTGATCGATTCGCTCACATTTGGCAGCAAGTGCGAGAAACTGGAACGCGATGCTAGTACCAACTTCTTCCCTCGTGAGGATGTACGTCGCCATTCCCACGTCAACCAAACATCATATCATCCACAGGAGAAAGCACCAACTTTTCAGTGACACCAATCCGTTGTAAGCGATAACTGAGTAGACCCGTGACGGTTCATGGACCATACATCGGACACAAGACTAGTGTGCGGAGGTGGGTCAAAATGCGAAGGAGACGGCAACAAACCACCCTTACAACCAGCTACCTCGAGACCCGTACATGTGCTGTTCCGCATTACGAGACCTGATGTCAACGATCAATGTCACAATACAAAAGCAATTCCGTCGTTCATGACAAAGTACATTGCACGACGTTGCCGTCGCTCGCCCCAATGCTCTGCAAGGACGATGCTAAGTCGGATTTCCATTTAGCTGAGACAAGTTAGACGGAGTTAAGATAGAGCTGAACAGTCGGCGAACTGCCCAGCGGGCCCACCTATTCGGAAATTTCATGTTTGCGGTGATAAGATTCAGAGCACACCTTCATTTCCAGCGACAGCGCGTGGTAGGCACGGCTACACCGGCCAATAGCCCTGTAACGGTTGAGAAGGTCTTCGACGTGGTGCGGGCGGTCCTGGCACGATGCCCACATCAGCACAGCATGGGAGCAGCATGTCCAAAACCAGTTGCCGTCCCCTCGGATCGAGATGCCCATGGTCTGGCCATCGAGGACACGTCCTCGATGCCGGGCTTGTTCAAGGTCAAAAACGACTCGGCGTCCCCCAAGGACAGTAGCTTCTCGGACAACGCCACCCGGAAGGAAGGAATGATGAGAAGGAAAGGGGTACAAGGTAACAAGATGAGAACCAAAGTCTCAGATGGGGGAGCCAGCTCATGTTGCTTGCTGCAAGCGGTACTCCTTAAGGCATCACGACGACCTACTACAGTGACCCTCACAAGTCACTACAACACGTAAAGCATTGATAGCTCGGGGGGGTGTACGCTGTTTGCCCTGAGCGGGGACGCGGGTGGGGTAGGCAAGGCGCACAATAAGATGTCCGGAATTGCCTCCGAGCTTCACTTGCTAGAGAACAACACGCGTGAAGTGCTTCGGGGGTTGCGTTTAAACTTTGAGAACGCCGGTGCCGCTAGTTCTCCTACATACCTCCTCATCGTGGCATCTTGTCTCGAAATCATTTGAGGCGGCAGCGTGGGTCGGTCCTTGGTCGGGAACACACGGAGGGTGCCGGAGGCGAGGCAGGCCTGCCATTCACCCTTTTCGTCTCCTCTTCCTTCCCGTTCTCTCTCTCCTTCTCCTTCCTTTCTTCCTCTTCCTTCTTCGTCCGCTCGTTCTCCTCTCTCTACTCATGCGGCGTAAACTTGAGGAACTTAACGCCTGCCCCCTCCTCTTGGCGAGCGTGCGGCTCGGGATAGGCCACCTCCTTCACGAAGCCCTCCTCAGGCTGCTGCTGCTGCTGCTGCTGCTGCCGCAGGTGCAGGTGCAGGTGCAGGTGCTATTTCCAGTACCGTATTCTTGTACATCCTTCCTGCAGCGCGAAACAGCACGCTGAAGCGCATACTACGGGACTAGCCGTGATGAGCGTGAACCGTAAAACATACCATAAAGGCAGACAACAATCACGCACACCCTTCCCTCCCCTCCCACCCCGCGTCCAGCGCCCTCGCAGCCGTGGGGTTAGATCCTGTGATAGTCAAGCTGTTCCGGCAGGAGGACAAGGGTGAACACTTTGACGACGACGACGACAGCCCATCTGCGGCGCTTACGGTGGCGAGCGATGGAAGTTCTGCATCTTCCCCGCTAGCCGGCGCTGATCCTCCAACCTTGGCCGCTTCTCCCCCACCCCCTGCCCTCAAGGCTCTGCGAAACGCCGAAATGGCGGGGTCCGTCGAGCGACCGGGCTTGTTACGCGTCGTCTTCACCACAGCGATAGACTCCGCGTCCACTACCACCAATATCAGCAGCCGCGGTTGTCGTAGGCAGGAAGTTGCCGCGTTCGGCATGGGGTTGGGCAGCAGACGATTGCCTCTTCCTGGCGGCTTTCGCCCTGCGCTTCTCTTGGCACCGACTGCGCCGCTCCAAGATATCTGCGGATACCGGCTTGGTCGTGTTCCGTGCCTTTTCGCGGCGGGCTCCGGCGATACCTCCTTCTTTCCCTGCCTTTGTCTTGCAACGTGAAGAATGAATCATGTCCGGATTGGCGGAATGCTTCAGCGTCGCCGGCATTGGCAAATGAGATCGGAGGGGGCGGGGCGAAGAATCGCGCGGTGTCGTCGGCAAAGCGGAGCCAGTGGCTTTCTCAGCACAGCTGAGCTGGGGAACCCAAGGATTACAGAAAGGGACGGGAGCTGCTGGGCGACAACCTGCGGGGGCGAATTTGGTGGCGCAGCGAGCAAAGGCAAGCCTCAGAAAGATGCGGCGGTGGCGGCGGCGGTTGCCGCTGGGCTTGCTGGGCTTGCGGGGGCGAGCGATGGGAGTTCTGCCTCTTTCCTTGGTCACAAGCCAACTGCCACCAACGGGAGGTAGTCTACACGTTCTAAACAAAATGAAAAATATATGGACCTCAGAAAAACCCTCCAAATCGCGATTTGTTTTCTACCCAACGAAAAAGAAAAACAAAGGATAGTAAGTGGAATACAGACGATCGACCCCAGTCAAAAGGAATGAAAGGACGAAAGACAAAGAAAGAGAGAAGAAAAGAAAGAGAGAAAGACAAAGGAAACGAAAGGAAGATAGACAGGTCCCCACCAACGCTGCAGTCTACCGGGACAACGATTTAGGCAACTACTAACAACGCGACACCACAAGCAGATGATGACTTGACAAACTTTCAATGTCACTTCGGGGGCACTGCGAGGGGGGGGGGCGTACTCTAATGTTTAGCATGCCTTAGCGGTTAGACCATTGACCACGCGTCCTCGAAAGGACGGAGCATTGTTCCCACAGGACCGATTACCGATGGCCAATCGTTCCTTTCTACTTTGCCAACGGTGGCTCAAAAATGTCTTCCCTAGTCTGTCTATCCTAACGATCTCTCTTCCCGCCTGTTCAACCCACCTCCTATGCCCCAGTACAGCTACCGTCCTTTCCTCTCTATTCCATGCCTCAAACATCTCCCTGTACGTCCTATCTATTTTTCCCAGCTCAGTCACGTACACTTC